TCCAACATGTTTTATAAAAGTTCAAGAAGTTATTTAACATGTTTTGGATTGTTCAATGACTTATTTGTTCCAAAAATAGTCCAAGGACTTATTTAACATTTTTTGGAATGTTTAAGGACTTATTTAATATATTTTGGAATGTCCAAGGACTTATTTGTGCCAAAAAATTGTCCAAGGACTTATTTAACATGTTTTGGAAAGTTTAAGGACTTATTTGTTCCAAAAAAAAGTTCAAGGACTTAATCATTCCAAACAAGAAAGTTCATTGGTTTTTATTATACTTTTCCCTAAAATAATCTATTAGGATATTTAGCTATATTTAAGGTGATAAAAGCTGATTTTGTTGCAATTGGGGGCTAGTAAGAAACCTGAATGTAGAGCACATTGTCAGAAGGATGAGCGTTTATGAGGTAATCAGTGATCCATTTCAGTGACTCTTGAGCATGTTTAAGCTCTTTTACTGCTTCCATATGTTGACCATATTCTAGGATTGACCATGCCAGAATGGTGGCCGTGAAAGCCATCGGAAAACCAAATTTTATTAGATCTCCGGCATCATACAGTCCTTTGGATAGATCAATATTTTCCTCTTTTCCATCTCGTAGTCCTGAATCTCCTCTCCATTCAATCTGATTGTTCTCCAATCTCCCAGCTGCAGGTTCAAACAAAAAGCAACAAATAAGAACACCATCAAAAACTGAATCACAGGCATACTTAAATTTCTTCAATGTGTGCACCTCATCCTTCTAAGCAAAACTAGGGTTCAGAGTGAATTTCAGGAACAGATTGAACTAGTTTTTAACTCCAAAATCCATAAGAATAAACTCAAATTGCACAATTGTGTTAAGCTTTTTCGTTTTGTGTATACTATAGAAGAGATTGAAATTTGATTGTTGATCCGATTTAGCGGATTGCATCGCTAAATCTAACTATTTCAAATTCTGACGCAAAATGGAAGACAGGTTCATAATCGTCAATGAACTAGAGTCGAATTTGAAGCCGTTGCTTCTTCTAACTAAGTTATTCAAGACAAATTGAAGGATCAGTGATTACATCTTTGAACGTCGAAGAATTGCGTAGAAATGCGAAGAGCATCACTATATTTCTGCGTAACACCTCTAGGTGGCCTCCGAATATGAGGAAGCTTGTTTTGAAGGTCATGGAAGTTTCTCCAAACGGTGATGTACACAGCTCCGGCAACGAGAACAGCGATCACCGCCACTAACAGCCACCAATGCCACTCGGTAGAATCAGATTTGAATTTGGTTTTAGCTTCCATGATGAATAACAGAATCTTACATTTGTTCCTTGAGATTATAAGTAGATGAAATGGAGGATCGTAGTCGCCGGCAGGTTGTCCGTTTCCGAATGAAGCCAATGGGGAAAGAGACGGAAATGGTGGGAAAGGCATTTTTTTGTTTAGGAAGTGTCTCAAAAAACGAATGTAATTCAATATATTATTAGTGAACATATTATACACGTAAGAGCAACTCCTAACAATTATTTTATAATTTTTTTTAAATAGAAAATTAAAACTAAAAAAACTTAAAGATTCATTTTCAACAAATTTTCTATTTTAAAATTTTTGACATAAATTATATTTATTATAATCTATACTATATTATAAAACATTTAACAAGAACTCTTAAAAACCATTTTTTATACGTAAATTACAGTTTATTAATCCATATTACTTAAAACTCAAGATTGCAAGTAAATTATGCGTAAGTATAACTTATTAAAGCTTCATATCTGAATTCGTGTAACTAACTACAGATAAACATAATCAAATCCAAGATAAACATC